CCCGGAGGGGCAGGAAGACGAAGAGGACACGAGGGGGGGAAAGACGGTGACATGGACCAGCCGGGCCCTCAGGGAGACGGCCGCCAAGGCCGCACGTCGACAGCTGCGGTGTCTGACGCTCCCGGGGCCGGCGGAGAGGGCCCTGGGGAGCCCGAGGCGGCCGAGCAGAACCTCGGGACCTCGTCGTCGTCGTCGTCGTCGTCGTCGTCGTCGTCGTGCTCCTCCCACTCGTCCTCCATTCATTTTTTATGGGTAACTGCTCCCTGTCGCACCCCGAGGCCAGTCGGAAGGGCGGCCCGGGCGTTTTGCGTGAGACGTCCTTGCCACCTACGCTTCTGCAGCCTGACCCTTGGCAAGAGTTTCACACATGGAGCGCGGGTTGCTTCCAGCATGTAGATCTCGCCTTTAAACCGCGCACGTGCGTTTCATTTGTTTGTTTTGTGTTCGTTTCTGTATGTCTGATATATATGTATATATATATAAAACACTGCAAGACCTTCACGCATGGAGGGCGGAGCGTTTCCAACATGTGGCTCTCGCCCTTGGCGCGCTCGAAGAACAAGCATGGCAAGGGCTTCGCGGATGGACATGTTGCTCTCGCCTGAGCGCCGAGCACACTCATCTTAGATACAGTGCGGGCGTGGCCGCAAGAAACCCTCGCAAGAAACCCAGCCCTGAGAACCCGTGCGCGAGGTGCACCTGAGGGTAAACCTGGAGCACCCTGAACGCAGCAGCTCCTTCAACGGCTGCGGGAAGTCACCGCGCAGCGCGATGAGCGAAGAAACCCAGGATACCCTGACGAAAAGCATATGGTTACTTGATGCGCGTCCCCACTGTATTTTCACGGGTTTCACTGATCCCCATGGTCAGCGTACCAGAACGTATGTGTTGTAGCGGTTCATGATTCTCAGGGCGCAACAGGTTACGTTGATTCGCGGTGTTGACGTTCGAGGAAGGATGTTTTGGCGCGATTCAGGGTCGTCATCACGCAGCAGTCAGGCTGATTTGTGGCGTTGTAGTCCCGAGTGATGTGTTGGCACACTTCAGGGTTTTCAGTTGGTTGTCCTCGAACGGGGCATGTCCCTCAGTGTAAATGAATCCTTGTAGGGGCCTGTGAAGAGGGAGCTTTGGGGAGGGTTCATTTCAACATCGTCGGTGAGTCTTGGGCCAGTACTGGTCCTTCTCCTCCTTCTCCTCCTTCTCGTGTTTCTGTTCCTCTTCTTCCTCCTTGCCATCCTCCTCGTGGTCCTAGTCGTCGTCGTCGTCATCGTTGTCGTTGTCGTCGTCGTCCGATCGCTGGCGTACTCCTCCTTGCTGCCGTCGCCCGAGTCCCGTTTTAGACAATCGCGTTCCTCTACTCGCAACGTAACTGCTCGCAAGAGGTTCAGATCCTCCGCGGAGGGTCCACGATCTGTTACGTACGACGAGGCGCGCATGAATTTTTCCTTTGACTTTTGCGACTATGCACTCTGCGAATAGTGGAACGCGCTCGGTCACGCTTGCTTTCACGCCATAAAGGTCTCGGGCGCCAATTAATGAGGGGCGTCCTTTTCGGAGCCTGAAGGCCCCCCTTCTGGGCCGGAAGGGACCCACTCGGGGCGTTTCAGGGCCCCTTTTCGGCAACCCTCGCTGCCCCCCCCCCCCCCCATGTTTCGCCCCCCCCTCTTTCGGGAGCGGCCCAGAGGGGGGTGTCCAAGCGGGGTGTGTGCAAATCATGACCGGCGGCATGTGCGCGGCCCAGCGGGGGGGCCAGGGACGCAATGAAATAAGAAGAGGCGCCATGAAATCTGGGGAGATATCATGGCCCCCGCCATGATATCCATCTCCCCCTAGTCATCACCCCCCTCTTTTCCACCCCCGACACAATTACGCGTCCTCCGAAAAAAACGCCCTGGCCCCAATCGCCGACAGATCACGACGCCGGGATGGGGCCCTCGCCACCGTCGCGGCCTCGAGGTGCGCGCGCAGGGCCGACGCCTCCGCGGCGTGGTCGGACGAAGACCTGCCACCCACCACAGGGCAAGGAGGGTGTCTGGGACGGGGAAGGGGGAGGAGGTGGAGGAGGCCCTCCCTCCTCCTCCTCCTCCTCCTCCTCCTCCTCCTCCTCCTCCTCCTCCTCATTGTCTTCCTCCTCCTCCTCCTCCTCTTCGCCTCGTGCTCCTCCTCCTCGTCCTCCTCCCTCCTCCTCCCCCCTCCTTCTCCTCCTTCTCCTCCTCCCTCGCTCCTTCCTCCCTACCTCTCCCCTCCCTCCCTCCTCTTTATCCTCCTCCGCCGCTTCCTTCTCCTCCTGATTCTCTTCCTCCTCTTCTCCTCCTCCCTTCCGATTCCTTCCCTCCTCCTCCTCTCCTCCTCCTTCTCCTCCCTCCTCCTCCGCTTCAAGCACGGACGGCGAGTGGTTTGCAAAGTGTGGCTCTCGCCAGCGCCGCGCGCGCTCGTCTTGCCAGATTCCAACCGTTTCAAACATTCGAGAGCAGGCGGTTTCAACACTTCGCGCCGCGCGGGTTCTTTCCACCCTGTGGTTATGGCCCTGTCGTTGCGCGAAGTCGTTATAAACTTTGCAGCACTTTCAGGGATCTGTTCGGTTAAATTCCCAGGAACGCTGTTCTGGTGCGATTAAAAATCCGCCGACCCTTCGGCGTGTGTGAAACGCTGTCGTCGTCGTCGTGGCCAGTCCCGTGTAAAAGACAACGACCAGAGAAACATGCGTTGTAATCAAATCGATTTCCTCCCCGTTTTCCCCTCCCTGACGGGGGGCGGGATGCGGCGGGGGTCAAGGGGGGCGGGGGATAAGGCACGGAGGGCGTGGTGAGGGGTGGTCCCGGGTCAGATTGCCTCCCTCCGCGGGGTCCTGGCGGCCCCCCCCGCCCCCTCCCCGGTCCCCCCTCTGGACTGGGATGACAAGAGGGGGGGGGTCCCCCCAATGAAGAGGGGGGCCTGGACAAAAGCCCAGGGCGAGGTCCCACTGGCGGTGGGGGAGGGCGATCCCGGGTCAGAATGCCATCCCCCAGGGTCCCGGCGGGTCCTGGCGCGGGGGGGCGCCAGTGGGGGTCCCCGGGGAGGGACAACCTTCAGGGTCACTGGCCGCCGCAAGGCCAGCGGAATACTGTCCGGACGCAGTCGTCACGTTGCTTCGCGGTGTTGAATCCGCAAGAATGTTGTTTTGGCACGATGTAGGATTGTCACGCCGCAATCAGTACGTTGATTCGCAATGCTGAAATCCCAAGGGTTCTGTTTCAACAGTATTGGGGATCCTCAAACGGTTGTTTTTCAACGGGGCGTTTCCCGCAATGAACAACTACTTTTACAGGGACGCATCCAGAGGGAACTTGGAGGGAGGGTGTAATGCAAATTTGTTGATAGGTGTTGGCTTTGCACCGATTATCCGCATGGCCGGAGTACCGTCATAATCTGGCTAGCTGTGTCACCGCTGATTCGCAGGAACAACCAACTGTAGCCTTCCCACGACATCGCAGCCCCAACGTTGTGGGTCGTTCAGTGGTGGTCGGTTCTCGAGAGCAAGGCGTCGGTGGTTTCGTTGTGCCGCCGCGTGAACTCGAACAGCTCACAGATGGCATTGAAACGGGACTCCGCATCGAAGGTGTTGTGGCGAGGTCCGTTAGTAGGTAGGTCGCGGCGTCTTCTTGCAGACCGTTGCCCATGCCAGCCTGGATCTAAAGTGTAAACTCAAAAGGCGAATGGACTCTCGAGCGGCGCCGCCGAGGTTTAGGATGATGGCGGCACACAATCGTGCACCATCCAGACCGATAGCGAACACGCTGCATGCTAGCAAGTGCTGGACAACATGTGGACACGTGTGCGCCGATTCGCGTTCAGGCAACCAAGCAGGGAACGCTTGGAAATGAACGCATCCCGTGGGTCCGCCTTGGTCACCTCCACAAAACAACATGCAAACGAGCAAGAGCAAGGTGTCCATTGATGGGATGGTGATGCGACCCCAAAGTGCAAAGATGGCGGACCTCGTGGTGATGAATCTACCACGGAAAAAACTATGCAGACGCATTGGGGCTCAGGTCTGCACAAGGACGAAGGCCACCTTGGGTTCTTTTTTGATAGCCGTGGTGGGGCTGAAGCCTTTGGTCACGGTGGTCAAACAATTGTATTCGGCATCTGTGCGCCGCCTGGCGTGCGCAGCGTGCTCACGAACTGTAGGCCCACACTGTGGCGCACAAGCTGGAAACAACATTTGGCCCAGTCGTGCGGCCAAGCGCGAGAGCCTCCCACGGCCAATTTTGGTGTTGCACCGTGGGGTCCCCGGCGTCGTGGCGCCCGCGTGGGCTTGGTGCCTCCGCGGACGCGAGGGTTGCCCATGTAAGTGGGGTGTGGCTTGCACCTCGTCGTGCCAACGCGGTCCCGCTACGGATTATCTAGAGAGTGCAGTGCATCATTGAGCGCAGGGCGCTCAAGGAATGGTGGATGTTACCGACGCGGAAATTGAGGAAATGCGAACGAGCGCCCACGTCGCATTCTGCGCATCTGCCGTGGATCGCAAGCTGGGGTCGCGTCCAGATCCGCTACCCGGGGCCAGACAGCAACCGCGCATCCTACTCAAGTGAGGAGAAGTAGGAGAAGGCGGAAGCGGAGGCGGAGGAGGAGGAGGAGGAGGAGGGAGGAGGGGGAGGACGAGGATTGAGGATCGAGGATGGGGAGGAGGAAGAAGAGGAGGCGGAGGAGGAGGAGACAGAGGAGGATGGATGGCGGTCATGGTGATTGTGATGGTGTTGATGATGTTGATGTTGATGATGATGACGATGATGATGATGGTGATGATGACGATGCGGACCCCGCCCTCTAAGTGCAGTCGGAGCCGAAACGCTCGCGCCCGCCGCATCTTCTCACTCGCCCACGGGGTCATGGGGCCCCGCCCCAGGGGTATCCGCGCCGACACACCCCGAACTGCGTCAGCATAGCGAGTCCTACACCCGCCACAACGCGCTGCCCAGTGGCGTTGTCACTGTGTCGGCCATCGCCTCCAAGTCGTCTTACGTAAAGAAAAGCTTGCCTTCCACCAGGGGCGGGGGCACGCCCTCCTCGCCCTCCACATCGAACGGCGGCCGGTCCCCCGCCCCGTCGCAAGTCGCAAGCAGGCTGTGGCTGGGGACGTCCGTCAGGCTCCAGCGCGTCGCCGTCCCGCACTCCGCCGCGCGACCTGGCAGCTTCCGCGGCTGCGACGCCCGCGCCCGCGCGCGGGATGGCGGAGTCCGGCGGGGACTCGGCCAATTTCCGCGCGGGCGGGACGCAACCCTCAGCAGGCCTGCCGTGCGGCTCGCGCCCGAGCCTGTCCAGCATACTGCGGACCCGCACGAACAGGCCGTCTCGAATACCTTGTAAAGCGCTTCCCAGCTGCGCAGCTGAGCCTCCGCCTCGAGGACGTGGCGCATCGCGCGGGCGTCCAGCACCACCTCGCTCTACAACTTCTTGTCGACGTGCTCCTCCACGTCGTCCAGCTCGAAGCCGAAGACCTCGGGCTCCTGCTGCTCGCCCCCCGCGCCGTCCCCCGACACGTGGGCCTCCAGCGCGTGCAGCTTGGCGTCGTCAGCGGGCACATCCTCGACGACCCCGTCCGCGCGATCGTCAGCGTGTGCAGTCGTCTCGGCCTCCTGGTTCGGGAAGCCCGACTCGGTCAGCAGCACCACTGCCCGCGCCCACCCCGGCACGTATGGCTGGGCGCCTGACCGCAGCGGCGTTCAGGACGAAGGCGAGTGAAAGGGCGCCACATCGCGGCGCAGCCCAGGCGCCTGCCGCACTCCCAGCCAGCGCACCTGGCCGCTGAGCTCCAGCGCGGGCTCCGCGACGCAGACCTCCATCTTGATGCCCGCAGCGACGAGGGGCTCGTGCCTCGCCTTGTCTCCGTCGCCCTTGATCTCCACGCCCCAGAGAACGAAGTCCATGTCCACATCCAGCGTCTTGGCCACCGCGCGCAGCGCATCGCCCAGGCGATGCATGTGGCAGCCAAGTGCGACGTCAGCCCTGTGGTGAAGCAGCAGCGCCTTGCCGAGGCACACGAGGCGCTCCTCCAGGGCCGCCGCCAGGGCCTGCGGGGGAGCCAGCTCCGCCACAGCTGCAATTGCTGCAGCCACCGCCCTGTCTCCGTCCCGCGCCTGGGCACGCTCCTTGCGCATCCTGCGCGCCAGCGTGGCCGCCGAGCATCGGGCAGTGCTCCAAGTGCCGCCCCAGGGGGCGCCCGAGGGCATCCCGCAGCCACCATGCTCGCACCGCCCGCAAGGGGGGTGTCGAGCCAGGCCTGAGCCAAGCTGGCTTGAGCCAAACGGCTACGGATAGTGAGATGATGATGCTGCTAATGATGATGCTGCTGCTAATGATGGTGAGGAGAAGGAGGAGTAGTAGTAGTAGGAGGAGTAGGAGTAGGAGTAGGAGTAGGAGTAGGGGTAGGAGTAAGAGTCAAGCTAGCCAGCTCGAGCGAGTCAAGCATGGCATGCCCAGTCCCACCCGCCCTCCCACAACATAAGAAGCAAAGCTGGCACAACTGGGGGCCGAAGTCACACCGGCCAGCAGGTTTGGTACAGCTGATGCGGCCGCGATGGCGGTTGCCGACGGGAACTGGCGAGCGCGTGATGAATGCCGCGCACGCATTGCCAGACGAGTCGAGAATGGCCTGGTACACCGTAGGAAGCCAGAGGTGGCCGGAGGAAGCCCGACGGTCTGACAGGACACCCCACAGCATTTTTGTGAAAAAGCATTGGGTTTTTGATGGTTGTATGTTGAAATGCTTGCAAACACACGGTGTTCGGTAGGATTCTGACATGAACGCGCGAGTGTGCTCTTTGTTGTATTTTTTGCACAGGATTCGCGGCCTGGGTGCATGACAGAGCATCGCGAGTGCACCGCGCGATGACGTGAAATCGCTGGATTTGACAGAACTCTTAAGATTCCGATGGTTTTCCTATGATTTCAGCAAGAGAGCCCGGGCGGGAAATTTGTACAATTTTTGTGAAAAAAACATTGTTTTTTTTATGTTTTTATGTTGAAATGCTTGCAAACACACTGTGTTCGGTAGGATTCTGACATGAACGCGCGCGTGTGCTCTTTGTGGTATTTTTTGCAATGGATTATCGCCGTGGACGACAGGACGTCCATGTCGAGAGGAAAAAATAAGAAAAATGTTGATTTTATATTGTTTTTTTACAGGTTAGGATGGGACCCCCCGGATGCGGCCCCTAATGGCCGGCCTGAGGGGGGAGTAGGAGTATATTCTAATAAGGAATAAGGATAGGAGGAGGAGAAGAGGAGCGTGAGCAGCAGGCGTGGGCGGAGGGCAATAAGCAAGGAGGCCTCCTCCTCTTCCTCCTCCTCCTCCTCCTCCTCTTTCTCCGCGAAAGGCCCACGCAGCGACCGAACATCGGCCACGCTCTCATGGGGCGCGGCTACGGCAGCACATCCCGACGGGGGAGCCCCGTCGTCCTCTTCCTCTCTCTGGTGATGTGAAAGCCACGAATAATTGGACTGCCCTCTCCGTTGGAACTCCCTCTATGGCTCTCAGAACTGAGGCTTCAGTGAAGGGGGGTCGCACAACTCCCTCATCATTGAATCTTTGGGACCCCTCCAGGCTCTCCATCCCCACCTCGGCTGGGGGGCGCCCGCGTAGATCCGAACCCTCTAACATCAAGGGGGACTCCAGAGTGCAGACCACGGCCAGGCAAAACAACGACCCACTTACACCGACTGAAATCGTAACGTGTTGACTGCTGTTTGTCCGCCTGGTGAGATTCGGATTGACTGTTTCTGTTGGGGGCCACTCTGACCCACTGAAAGAAGGGCGGGCCTACCGTGGAGTATCCCTGCGCCCAGCCCCACTGTCGCAGCTTGCTGTCCAGCTCGGCCAGGCCGCTGCGTAGCGTGGCGGTCACCTCTCCGAGGCCGCCGCTGCTGTTGCTGCTCCGTCTGCTACTCTCCCTCCCCGTCCTCGTCTCGATGTCTCGATTTGCGTTTGCACACAAACCAGCGCGCTGATGTTGGTAAGCGGTAAACGGTCGCGCGCACGTAGAATGACGCACTCAGAAACAACCGTGTAAACAACAACACATGCAACTATAACGACATCGGACGCGCAACTCGAGACACCAACAAGCTCCGTGCCGTCAGGGAGACGCGCGATGCAGAGGCAGTGCTGGGAGCAATGGGCGGTTCCACCTACTCGTCCTGCCGCTCAACCTCCTCCTTCTCCCCCTCTCGGGAAACAAACGATGACATGAACATAAAACACTGCGTCCCGCGCGACTTTCTCGGATCGGCGCTGGGCCACCCTACTTGGCGCGCGGAGCGCGCCAGCGGCGGCGCCAAAGGCCACGCCAGGGGGGCCAAGCGCCGATCCGAGGAATCCGCGCGGACCTCCGAATTGTTTAATATTTATGTCGCTGTTTGTACCCGACCCTCCCCCTCCCCCCTTTTCCTCCCCCCTCCCCCCGTCTCCCCCCCCCCCTCCTCCCCTATTATCAACTTCCTATCCTCCACACCCGCGCTGGAGAGCGCTGGCAACCGCCGTGCTTGCCCCGCTCTTGCCCAAACGAAATCGCGAGCCGCTGTCCCCCTCACCCCTTCTCCGTCGTCGCCCTCCTCTCCTGCCCCACTGGCGCGCACTGTTCCCCACGGCCGACGTAGACGCTTGAAGCACTGCTATCGCCCACGCCCCAACCGGCGCATGGATTCTCGATCGATCGAAAGCGCGAGTCCCAGCACCCGGGGGCCCCTCCAGCAGCCGGGCCCCGCAGCCTGAGCCCCCGCACTATCACGGAACCGATTGGGGCGGAGAGAAAAATATGTGTGCTTGCGCCGCCCGAGATCGCCGGAACCACGTCTCTCTCGATACCACGCGGATCATCGCAGCATAGGCCTCCCATACAGCGGTCGGAAACAGATGGGGTCGGATGATCGCGCCGCATCGCCGATGCCTCGGCGATGCCTCGGCGATGCACCCGCGATGCATCGCCGACGTCGGCGATGCTTCGGCGGCGTCGACGTGAGGCACATCGGGCTGCACATGGAGCCGCATGGGCGATGCATCGGCGAGGCGGCGCAGCCCTCCGACCCCATCTGCTCCGACCACATCTAGGAGGCCGAATGGGGAAGCCAAAAGGTAGCGATACCGCTGCTCCCCAGACCTCTCCCGGGGTGCGTTCTGACCAGGATTTCGAGGCGAATCCAGCGGTGGCGACGAGGGACCCCCAGGAGGCCCAAAAAGGGTAAAACGAGGGAGGGGCAGAGGCATGGGTACCCTTTCCTCCTCTGACCTAGAAGCAGGGCCCCCCAGGAAGCCAAAAAAAAGGAAAACGAGGGAAGGGTGGAGGCATGGGTACCCTTTCCTCCTCTGACCTATAAAAGCAGGCAGCACAAACTTAGATGCCGCAGCTGCGGAGCCGCCGCTGCCGCTGCCGCCGCCGCCGCTCCAGCTCGGCAGCCGCCGCCGGCGCGGCCGCGGCGCCGAGAGCCTCGCCGAGACCCTCCGGGCACCGAGCGCTGAGGACGCCGCACCGCGGGGGCGACGCGGGACCCGGGAGCTCTCAACCGCAGCGAAGACGAAGCCAGGACGAAAACTTGCCGTCGCTCGGACGTCCATTTCCCGTGCCTTTTTCGGTTTCGTGCGTGTGTTTTTTTGCTCGATGGTCCAGGATGCTCCTCCAGGGTCCTCGCCTAGAAAAAATGCACACGTCCGTCTGATGCCAGGGACATCGGGTGAGGATACATCGATCGTGGATTATCTGCTGACCCGGGTCAATCCAAACCCGGGTCAGTCAGGCCTTGCAGGACCCCGCAAGATCCGCCAGGATCCTGCGCCCAAGCCCGGGTCAATGCGACCGTGGCTCTGCAAAATCCTGCAAGATCCAGCGCTCTGGCTGACCCCCTCTGCATTGACCCCCGCCTCTTGAGCCCCGAATCGAGAACCTCTGAGGTCCGCTGGATCCGGAGGATGTCTCGGGCGCTGCGGCCCTCTCAGTGCGATCCACAGTGCTCTGCGAGCGTTCCGGAACGCTCTGGAACGGCTTTATCGGGGACGGACAGACCTCCCTTTAGTAAAACGTGGATTCGTGAACACGACTCCGGGCCCAAACCTGGCGGGCGCAGGCCTGGAAAAGAACGGCCACGGCGCCCTCTCGAGAACCGAAAACGGACAATTCACTAATCGGCGTGTCACTGTTGGGGGTTCTGTCCTCCCCCGACACGATAAGGGTGCAAGGGCCTCGGAGGGCCGTGGCGACGCTCTTGCAGCGGGGCGAGGCCGGCGACAGTGGTCCACGGGGGGCCACAGGGGAAGGACGCAACGGCAGCCTGGGACCGTCGCTCATCCTTAGCTTGCGCGTTGACTGTATGTTTCGGCTACACGCAAGAGTGACCCTGGGTAAGATAGAGGAAAGAGAACTATGCACATGCACCGATTCTGGCCAGACCCATCCTGAGCCCATGATCGGTGCATACGCCCTCCTGCCTTGGCCAGGAAGGCATATGCACCGATCTGGACCAGTGCATGTGCATAGTTCTCTTCGCCCGATAAGAGTGACCTTTGGTGCGCGGCGTTGGGGGGGCCAAGGGGAGACCAAGCCTGGGCGCGCAAGCCGCTGCTACTGCTTCGTTTTCAGCCATCTGAGGGCCCATCTGTGCCCGCACCAAGGGTCACTCCGGCGAAAGGTCACTCTTACGTCGAGTCGAATGTTGCGCCACGGGGTACGCTTTCATGTTGGACGCCCGACATCGGTACGGAAGACTGGGCGCGATGCCCAACAACAAACGTTGTCCCAACACCGGCGGCGGCCGCAGTGGGCCAGGCAGCCTTCTGCCTCCCATGGACAAAGGCCCACGGCGGCACCGACAGCAAATCCTGCTCAAAACGAACGAAGACATGCTGCCGGGTTCTGTGCCCACTCTTGCCCTTTGTGGGCCCCGGAAACGGCAGGGCCGTTTTTGTCACCGTTTCAAAAAAAAATGTCCCTTGAAATGGAAGCGGCGAAAAAACGGCGACCGGAAGCGGCAAACAAACGGCTCCAGGATTGGAACCGGAGCTGGAACCGGTCAAACGCGACGGAACCGGTTAAAAAAACGGCGTCGGTTAACCGACAACAAAACGGCCAAACGGAACGGGTAAAAAACGGCCCTGTCGTTTCCAAGGCCCACTAAGTTCTTGCCGTGCTTGATTCGATCGTCCCGATCCATGGCCCCGGTCTGGCTAACGCCGCCCGGACGCCGAGCTCGCGACGACCTCCCCGTCCGCGCCCCTCTGCGAGGCGACCCGCGGTCCAGGAGGGGAGCCACAGGGCCGCCCTGGAGGAGCACCGGCAGCGCGCGCTCAGCCTGCTCGCCGCGCGGCGAGGGCGTGCGACGATCAGCCCGCGCGCCCCCCCGTGCCTGGGCGAAGAACCGCGCGCGTCTCTCGTGCCCCTTTGGGGGGGCCCCAGGTGGGCCCCTGCAGGACCCCTGATAACATGAGGGGTGCGCCCTCAATCTATCGATTGTAGACAGGCCTGAGACGTGCTGCGATCCCCCCCCCCTCAATCTATCGCTCGCTCTCCCTCCCATAATTTCGGGGGCGTCCAAGAGGAAGGCGTCCAAGATGGGGGGGGGAGAATCATGGCCCGAGGCATATGCGCTGAGGAACAAGGGACGTATTGAAAGAAGAAAAGGGGGGCGTGAACTCCTGGAAAGCATCAAAAAGCCCTGGCCAGGAGATCTTCCCCCCTAGTCATCACGAAACATGAAGTAGGAAGGTCATGGAAATTTAATGGACATCCACCCGCCCACTGAAGACGAAGAACGAGGGAACCACGCTCGATCATTGAAACAGGAATGTGCCCAAAGCAGATTGGGATCTTGAAGTCCAAAATGCACACTTCCGACGCGCGCGTCCCCCGCGCAGCGCCGCGCAGCGCCGAGAGCTTGCCACCGCTCGGACGTCCATGCTCCCTGCGGCGTATGGTCCAGCCACAACTGGGGGAGCCGTGGTCCTTACCCCCTCTGGGGGAACCCATCGCATCGACGATTGGTGTCGGCATCGATGGGTCCCCCAGGGGGGTAGGAACCACAGCTCCCCCAGTTGTGGCTGGCCTGTCAGGACGATCCAGGACGTTTTTGTTAACGGCGAGGCCAGCGCCAGAATTTCTGGCGCTGGCCTCGCCGTTAACAAAAACGCGCACGCCCGAGCGATACCGAGACAGACGACGACGCCCCGAGGAAGTGTCCTTCGCGCGCCCGCGCGCGCCTCGCGCACACGCACCCGCGCCAGGTCAAGTCAGGTGGCCGCGCGCCCAACATGTGGCGCGTCGGCAGGCCCAGCATTATGGGGGCAGTCGTTGTCGGGCCCAGGATGGGACGCACAGAGACGCACCAGTACGAGATGTCCACCTTGGAGGCGCGCGTCCGACCCGAACATCGAACATGCAGTATACCCATCTTGTAGCATATCGTTTCCCCAGCGGTGTGGCCAGGAAGCGCCCGCCACGACGCATATACTAGAAGATTTCTCGGTGCGCGCGTCGCCCCTGGGGGGGCGACGCACACATAGCATAAGTGTGTTGGGGTGACGCCGACAGGAGGCAGAAACAAACGCCCAACAAGACGTGGGCCACCACGCCCTGGCACATCTGCCATCACAGCGGACCCAGGTGCATGAATAACGGGCCCAAACTGGGACCGACATCTGGCCCCCCCCATTCTTGGCGCCGGCACCGTGCCGTGGTGGGGAAACCCAAAAGAACGCTGAAGTACAATGCGGGCGCGGTCGCAAGAGACCCTCGCAAGAAACCAAACCCTGAAAACCCGGGGGCGAGGTGCAACGGAGGGGAAACCCGGAGCACCCTGAACGCAGCAGCTCCTTCAACGGCCGCGGAAGTCGGCCGTGGAAGTCACCGCGCACCGCGCGGAGCGAAGCAACCCAGGGTACCCTGACAAAGAGGAGATGGCCTCTGGAGGCGCGCCCCCACTGCAAGAGAAAGCGAGGACGCGCGAGGGGAGATGGGGGGGACGCACGGCGAGCGAGGGCGCGAGGCGAGGCGGGGCGAGGCGGAGGAGGGCCGAACGCCAAGGGGAGCGACCGAGGACGCGCGAGCGAGGGGGCACCAGGGCGGCAGCTAGGGCGGCAGAAGGGAGGGCAGGAAGCCCGCACCGAGAAGAAGCACCCAGACAGGCGAAGCCGTTCGGCAAACGCGCCCAGGGCAGACATCGAACAGAGCAGGACGGTTTAGTAAACGCCCCGGGCCGTTTTATAGGGGAACAACAAGTGGCATAAACAGAAAGACTCGGAGGTCCGCGCGGACTTCTCGGATCGGCGCTGGGCCCCCCCCGGCGGCGCCTCCGGCGCCGCCCCTGGCGCGCTCCGCGCGCCAGGGAGGGGGGTCCAGAGCCGATCCGAGAAGTCCGCGCGGACCTCCGAGTTGTTATGTTCATGTCACCTTTCGTTCCCCTAGTTTCGTAAACGCCCCGGGCCGTTCAGTAAACGCCGATTGTCGGGGTCTGGGTGGTTTTTTCCTCACTTGAGAGAAAGGGTGCCGGCGGGGGGCGGCGACCAGACGCGAGCTCGAGGGCGGAACCTCCGAGCGCATATAGCACACGGGAAGCGGCCGCACGGCAAGAGGCCTTGCCAGTGCTGGAGGCCCGCTCTTCGACAGGGAGAGCAACTGCAGAATGGCCCTACCCCGGAAATTAAATCTCCGCCCAATGTTTATGCCACTTCTTCTTCCCCTAGCTTAGGAAACGCCGATCGTCGGGGTCTGGGTGGCTTTTTTCCTCCCTTGACAGCAGGGGTGCCGGCGGGGGGGGGGGCGGCCAGGCGCGAGCTCGAGGGCAGAACCTCTGAGCGCATATAGCACACGGGAAGCGGCCCCACGGCAAGAGAGACCCTGCCAGCGCCGGGAGGTCCGCTCTTCGACGAGGAGATCGACTGCAGAATGGCCCTACCCCGAACATGAAATCTCCGTCCAGTCTGCGAGCAAATGCGTCGACTGTCGGGATAGATCCGTGAAAATTTCCACGTGTCTGTGTGGTCGACTCGACGAACCAATCGGTGCTGGGGTGCATCAGCTTTGCAGTCGACCCCTGACTCGAATTACCCGTGCATTGTTCGGCTCAGTGTGTGTTTTTCTCTGACGGGCGCGCGCTTCCTGCGGCGCCCGTGAGGCGCGGGGCGCGCCGATCCCAAAGAGGCAGGGGGGGCCTCTGGGAGCCCCCTGCCGCTGCCCTCCCCAGCGTGCCGCCCCGATTGCCCTGCCCAGCTCCCCCCCCCCCCCGACATTGGCATATGGCACACTGGGGCGCTGAGATCGTCGGGGTCGGGATTGGGGGGGGTATAGCCCCGACTGGGGTGCTGGGATCGTCGGGATCGGGATGGGATTGGGATCGGTTCAGCGATGCAGAGGTACGCAGCTGCCCTTCCTCTCCACATCCTTGCGCGGGTGGGGGGGGCCTCTTAGGAGGCCGCTGCTTCTCGAAAGGCGCTGGCCTTACACCTACAGACAGGGCCCGCGCCCTCTGGGAAGCAGGAAATGCTTCTGACGAAGCCATCCCCCCTCACCCCGGCCCCCTCTGCGCGCGGCTGACTCTCCACCCCCCCGCCCCTCCGCCCCCACTTTTTTGCATGGGGGCAAAGGGTCCTGAGTGACACGGGTCCCAGACCCCAGCGCCTGCGCCCAGGACAAGATCATCATCCTGCAGTAGAGGCCTCCCAGATTGGGTCGAAGTACATGGGGTCGGAGGATCGCGCCGCATCGCCGACACATCACCGATACATCGGCGACGCACCGGCGTCGGCGATGCATCAGCCTCGTTGGCGTGGAGAACATCGGGCTCGCATCGCCGATGCGGCGCGATCCTCCGACCCCCTCTACTTCGACCCCATCTGAGAGGCCCAGATGCACTGCTTTTTGACAGCCCCTGAGCCCGAGGAGGCTGCTTCTGAAAGGCCCGTCCTCTCCCGAGGCATGCGACGCCCTGGTCTTCTCAATACGGGGTTCCTGGAAGTCCCTCGACCCTTTCCCCTGGACCGGTTCGTCGTCCTGCATAATGTGTTTGACGGCTCCCAGGCCTGGCGAGGCCCCCCAAGGCCGAAACCAGGCAAACACCGCCCGTTCTGCTTTTGGCACGCCGCGATCACGTCGGGGTCCGGCGAGGCCCCCCAAGGCCGAAACTATAGGCGAACACCGCCCGTTCTGCATCTCCTCCTCCCCCTCCTCCTCCTCCCTCCTCCTCCTCCTCCTCCTCCTCCCCCTCCTCCTCCTCCGTCCTCCTCCTCCTCCTCCTCCTCCTCCTCCTCCTCCTCCTCCTCCTCCTCCTCCCCCTCCTCCTCCCCCCTCTGGCAAGGCCCCCCGGCGCCCGACCTCGGCCTGCACAACCATCAGCCGGGCGCCCAGCGCGGCCTGGCTCGCCGGCGCCGCGGGCACCAGAGGGGGAGGGAGGGAGGAGGAGGAGGAGGAGGAGGAGGAGGAGGACGGAGGAGGAGGAGGAGGAGGAGGAGGAGAATGAGGAGGAGGAGAGGACGGGAGGAGGGGCGGACGGAGGAGGAGGAGGAGGAGGAGAGGACGGAGAGGTCGGAGGAGGAGAGGAGGAGGAGGAGGAGGAGGAGGAGGAGGAAGAGCGGTAGGAGGAGGAGGAGGAGGAAGAGGAGGAGGAGGAGGAGGAGGAGGACGGAGGAGATGGGGGCTACCTGGCCGACGCCTGCAATTATTGTACTTTTCGCCTTCGCGGGCTCTCCTCTTTTCCGCCTCTTGTTGAACCTCCTGCACTGTGCAGTTTGCACTCAAGCGGTGTCACTGCCTTTCCTTGCCACCAGAAGGCTACAGCCTAGTTGCGAACATCCGCCTGACGCAAAACAAACTTTACGAGGACGAGGAGGAGGATTAGGAGGATGAGGAGGATGAGGACGAGTAGGAGGAGGAGGATTCAAATAGAAATATTCGATATGATGCCGTCCACGCGGAGCATATCATAAGACCCCCCACCATCATCGGGGATGGGAGCCCCGGGACCCGTCACTTCTCGGTTGCCGTGCCCTGCCCTCCTCTCTCCACGGGGGGCAGACCTTCAGCTGGCCGTGGTACCAGGCAGCAGCGCCCCCAAATCGACACTGCTGTAGGGATCCGCGCTCGGAGGCCAGTGCTGACGCCGGCCTACTTGGCCAGCGCCGCCCGAAGGCACCATCGGCGAGGCGTCGGCGTCTTGGGCGCGGGCCTCGGCCGCGGGAGCCCCAACCCTAACCTCAGCAATGAAGCGTGTCTGCATCGCTGCCCGACCCGACTCGGGGGGGCCTCCCTCCTCGGGTGCAGAGGCCGGTACGAATTCCAGAAAAAAACTCTCAGCACCCTTCCCAGAGCGGCCAAGACAGGCCACACTCGTGGCAGGACGCCATATAGAACGCAGCCCGTTCACCAAGCTGGTGCACAGCCCCCCGAGGCTCTTCCAGGCGTTCCTCCCCGATTCCAGAGGCCATGGGGGCGGGGCCGAGCTCGCAAAAGGGCGGCGGACTGGGGACAAGCGGCGGTCCGCACGCAGTGCGGCACACCTCCAGCAACGAGGGCCCCTGCGCCATCTGGATGCACACCTCGCACCGCCATTTCGCCCTCAAGTGGGTGACTGTGAGCAAATTCGCGCACTGCTGACTTCGCGCCCGAGCATCGCACGGCCCGATGCGCGGTCTTTTCCGGCTCCGCAGTCGCGGGCTCCACATGCAGACACGATTCCAGGGCCTTGCGCGCCCCCTGACGGACGATGGTAGCGGTGGCATCACCATGGGGGACCCCGTGGAACAAGAATACTTCCCAAGCCTTCTCCATCGTCACCCTAGCCGCATAGTCCGCAACCGCGTTGCCAGCAACTAATGAGAGGTCGCGGTCCGTGGCCAGACACCGTCCGCTCTCGCCCAGGCCAGCTCCCACTCAAGCGCGACGTGGAGGTCAGCATTGGCAACTCGGATCGTAGCCCGAAGATCCTCACTGGGGCCTTCGGTGACCTTCCTACTCCTGCACGGCCCAGTCTTCAGCATGCCCCCGTGGCCCGTCACATAGCACATGGGCCTCCGAACGTTGCAGGGCACAGATTGGTGCATGTCAGCGAGGGGCGCGGCTATCAAGGCGCCCAGCAAGCAGCCAGGCATGTTCGTGCCGCGCAAGCACAGCCGCAGCCGCGCCGCACCTCCTGCGACGCTGGTCACCCGAGCGTTTCCCTCCCGACCCGTCCCCGAGGGCACTGGGAGCACCGCCCTCCATTGCGGCGCCGACTCCGAAGGAGATCATCTCAGAGACAATATCTTCTTCATCGAAGACTGGCGTGGTAAATAAATCAGGCGCGAGCCCTTTCAGCCATAGGGCATGCTCACTGTCCACCGCGGCGAACGCCCTCGGCACCAGGTGCTCGGAACGCCTGAACTCCCTGCGCCAGTTGGCGTTGGTTGGGCATGTCCAGATCCTGCGGGCCAGCGTCTCGTCCGACATGCCGCGCCGTGGGCGCCCAGTCTCCAGGAGGTACCCGCCTCTGCGCGCCATCACCCTGCACCCCTTCCCCCCCGCCGCCCACGTGCGCGGCGCCGCTGACGTCCGCTCACCACGGCCATTAATTTGCTCCACTCAGCCCATTCACCGTAGGGGGCATGCCCAAGGATCTGTCGCCCACAACTGGCTTCGGCACCGAAGCCGCCACTCCTGCCATGCACTGCCTGGGCCAGACCGTGTGCGTCTCCACGGTGTTCGGCAAGTTGATGAGCTCCACGCGGCCCTTCTGCGACAGGGGCTGCGCGCTATCGGAGATGAAGGCGTCGATGCCCATGGCCTTGCGCCGGCTAGTTGCTGCCATCGCGGTGTTTCAACACTCCTGCGCGATCGGGGGGTAGTCCTCCTCCTCCTGCGCCACTGTCAGGGTCTTGGCCAACTGCCTCTGGATGCCTCTATCAGCTGCTATTGGGTCCTGGCACGAATCCTTCCACTTGGCGGTCCTGTTATCCATGATGTGAGCTGGGTTGGCCGCTGTCTCCCTGCCCATGTAAATGTCGTTGGCTGTGCCCTGCTCATCTTCGACATGCTTGTGAAGGATGTCTGCAATGTTACGCCAAGCATCTTCATACTATTTGGTGTAAGTCCTTCTAGTCTCGCCCATGGCACGGCGTTGGTCAGCAGCGGCCATGGTCTCAGCCATGCCACATCGCCACTGCCTGTGCGACGCGCTGAGGGGGTCCTCCTTGACCACCAACTTCGGACAAATTATGAACTACGCGCTACCGAAGAAGTCCGTCATGCCCTCCTCCAACATCTCTGTGGCCACTCGCTTCAGCTTGACTGGAAATCTGCCTCGCTGGAGCTCGCCGCGGCCTCCTCTCTTGAAGTTTCGGTACCTCTGCAATAGGGTCATCGCGTAGCACATGTTGCCTTAATCCACTTGAGGTCGAATCCCCGACAACGTCCTTTGAAGTGCTGCAGTTCAGCTTCAGAAAACGCATGCATCTCCAAGATCGTGTGCTTCACCATACCTACCCAGTCCGCGTACATGCTGGAGATACTCTGGTCCTGCAGCTCCCTCCCCGGGTCACCAATAGACTCGACACGCTCTTGACAGGGCCTCTTAATTGACGCTGCCACCATCCTGCCGATACCAACTGTGAGACAGTCTGTGTTTCAGCCTGTCGCTAGCACCCAAATGAATATGGAAAGGGACAGTTTGCGCATGGTCTGAATCCGCATCCAAGTGGAACTGCATGAAGGACTCCTGCTCCTCCTCAAGTAGCCTTTCCTGCATACCCCGCAGCTTCCGCATCTTGTTGTTGCTCGATCTGCTGTTGGGGTCCGCCTGCTTCCTGGGCCTGGCCGTCCTGGGCATGGCCCTCAGGACCAGGAGCGCGCGCACCCACCACTCCTGGTAGAACCCCTCTGAGCCTGAGCGTGATGACGAGCCCGCACTGCACTTTCCGCGGCACCTCCAGCTCAGCCTGTCCACCAGCACTTGGTCCGCAAACTCCCAGCGTACCAAGCAGTAGTCCAGCATGCAGCGGTGCACGTCAACCCTGGTGTGCCTCGGCATCTTCACCTACCTTCTTCGGGAAATTCCATCTTCTCCACCAGCTTGGGGTCCATGTGCCAGTCGTCCGCCACCACCCAAGGGGGTTGTCCGCCCTGCGGAAGGCCGCCATGTGTGCCAGATTGCTTGTCTTGGTTGGGTGAGCCTTTGCCGCACCGTCGGGGCCATGAACGCAACTACGTCTACAACGCTGCCAACTTTCGCGTGCATCGCGGTGGCCGCGGGCCCACGAAACGGGTCCTCCTTTCCTTTCTTGGTCGCCTCCGACCTCACAAGCTCCAGCGAGGTGGTCTGAAGGAGGAGGAGGAGGAGGAGGCAGAGCAGGGAGGAAGATGAGGAGCGAGGGAAGAGGAGGAGGGAGGAAGGAAGGAGCAGGGAGGGGAGGGAAGGACGAGGGGCAGGGGGAGGAGGGAGGGGACGGAGGACAAGAAAGGGGGGGGGGGATGCTGCGTCCGCGCGGAGGGTCCGTCCGCGCGAGGTCTGGCTGGGAGCCCGAGCGCACCCCTCCCCCCCAGGAGCCACCGCTGGCAGGCCCAGGCCCGAACAGCGGCCGCTCCCAGGGGGGGAGGGGCCGCGCCAGCCAAGGCCTCCAGCAGAGCGAGAGCTACCCAGGAGCACCGGGTCCTGGGTCCTGGGAGGAGGAGGAGGAGGAGGAGGAGGAGGAGGAGGAGGAGGAGGAGGAGGAGGAGGAGGAG